CCCTCTTTAGTTAGGCGATCATGACAACCTTGCGATCGAATTGGCGATCCAATTTTCGAGTGCGGGTACTTCACGGATGGTGTCATTCATTCCAGTCATGTACTTTGACCTATAGCTCGCTCGGAGTCTGAAGCTCGAGGACACCGCTGAGAAGAAGCGATTTTACGTACTTTTGTTTGCGGTCGTCGTCTGAGTTTAGTTTGCGTTTCTGGCGTTCGCTCCATGGAAGATCTACAAAATGCAAACAGTGCATTGAGTTTGACATTGAGGGTCATTTCGAAGCGTACGTTGTGCGGATGGATTGCGACATGTAATCCATCCACACAACGTGCGCTTCAATCATTAACCGCTGTGCCAAACGTTGCCAATCGTGTACCGGTGGCTTATGGGTAGCGCTCACAACTAACATCACAATGGTCCCGGGTTCGACGCCTGCTATCGCTATCTGATGAGATTAAATAACATCGAAACGCGTCAGAGGAGTGCAGTGTTCTCGGGCTGGCAACACCCAATTTCTAAGTGCATTAAGTTGTTTGGAGGCGAGTGGCTGACAAGAGAATGACATCTGCATCATCTCCTGACTGAAGCGTCACTTGCATTAGTCGTGGTCCACCAAACTGTGCTGAGCTTGGATGACGGACAAGGTGCGTCATAGTGGACGGCTTTGCTTAGACTCGGATAAATTGAAAAATGGCGTCCGATTGTTTCTGGTCGTCCAGCAGCTTGCATTTGATGGAGTTCGACTTGGATTCAAGGACATTTAAGCATATAACAGTAAGGTAACTATGATATTGTTTAGTGTTCTTCTTTTACGAAGAGTGTACGACTGCTATCTTTGGTCTGAGAACAGGTGGCACAGTAGGTCCATAGGTTGTACTGATAACCATAACTGCTCCTAGTTGGAATGCGATCGAGGCTATGGTGGATGGGTGTGGGTGGCAACAATGGACGCATATGTTGTTGTTCCCTCAGCAGTGCTGAGTGTACCGCGAGGCTTTGATGAAGTATTCTATTCGAGATCATCATTAGGAGCGGGCAGTCATACCTCGGCAGAAGTCAGCGTGTTGGGGGTGCCCCCAATTCTTGACCATTATTCTCACGTCCGACTTAGTCGCTCTGTTCCGAATTGATGTTTGACGTTGTACATCCAGCTCCAGGCACTAATTCCTCTAGGTCCAATGAGTCAGATTGTGCGGCACTTGCTCGCTCCACTATCTCTGCCGGTCTGTAGCACTTCAACACCAGCATTTGACGAATGGAATAGTCGTACATTATGCGCAGAGCCAAAAAATCGGTCGCTTTATTCGTTACTTTACCTCGCTTAGATTGAGGAGACAGCGGCTAGAGCGAAATTTGTAAAACAGGTAGTGCATTCTATTCCAGTTCGTACATCCTTAAAACACCCTCCATAATTAATGTTCAACTGTAATACTTTAGGTTTAGCTCACCGTGAACAGGCGGTGCGTGCGATGATCACCGCCAATCCAGTTCGTTAGTTGCAGTGTCGAACACTGCGAGATCTATCCGAGCAGTCGCTGTGGTAATGGCGCCCACACACATTTGATAATTGTGTTTCGAATGGTTCATACGATTGTGGTCGTCGCATCTGACAATGCATGCGCGACAGATGGCCAAAGCAGAGCCAGAGCTACCCAAAATACACCTTTGCAACCCATTCTACACCATTTCCCGTCCAAGTTGTCCTCTTGGGCAACCGAAATAATCTGAGGTGGCATTCAACATGAGTCTACTCAATTAATTTGTTCCGTGCGTATGAGCTGAAGCGTCCCACCTGCACCCCTATGACGTAGCGCATCTGAGGTCCAATTGGCTGAAGGAGACGGGCTATTCACACACACACCTACACATCTGCACAAGTGACTGGCGTACGCACGGAATAAGTTAATTGAGTAGACTCATGTTTAATGCCCCATCAGATTATTTCAGTTGCCCAAGAGGACAACTTGGCCGGGAAATGGTATAGATAAGAGCAATTAGCCGCACCACGCAGTGGAAAGTGGTTGGCAGATTTACTTGAACCGACGAGACAGTAATTAGCCACTCACAGTTTAAAGGACTATACCATTTCCCGGCCAAGTTGTCCTCTTGGGCAACAGAAATAATCTGAGGGGCATTCAACATGAGTCTACTCATATTTCAGTGGTCAGGCCAGGTGTCAACTCGTCCTATTGCTCTATCATCGCCTCATACTAGGTACGTCCATTCGGCCGTGCATGTGCTCCCCGGTCGCCATATGGAATTCGAATGCGTTGGTGTGACCAAACTGTCCACGACCAACTGGACGAGGCAAGTCACGGACTTTGGTATCCGATGGCAACAACCGGCGTTATGCACAGGAGACACTGATAAGTGTCGCGAAATCCTGTGCTATGTTGCAAGGGTAGTGTGTGACAGACGTAACACCGAAACAGAAAATTCCTCATCCTTGCTACTTGGGGATCGTGCTACCGTGCCATCGCGTTGTAACAAGAGGACGCATCCAAAAACGCAGACATCTCCAATTAGCAAGGATGAGGAATTTGCTGTTTCCGTGTTACGTCTGTCACACACTACCCTTGCAACATAGCACAGGATTTCGCGACACTTATCAGTGTCTCCTGTGCATAACTCCGGTTGTTGCCATCGGATACCAAAGTCCGTAACTTGCCTCGTCCAATTGGTCGTGGGCAGTTTTGTCTCACCATCGCATTCGAATTCCATATGGCGACCGGGGAGCACATGCACGGCCGAATAGACGTACCTAGTATGAGGCGATGATAGAGCAATAGGACGAGTTGACACCTGGCCTGACCACTGAAATATGAGTAGACTCATGTTGAATGCCCCTCAGATTATTTCTGTTGCCCAAGAGGACAACTTGGCCGGGAAATGGTATAGTTTTAGTTTAAAAGTGAAACACAAAAAGGTATTTTCCCTTGATGTCGCCACGCTAATTACAAATATCCTCGTTAAGAAGATAATTGATTACCTAAGCAAATATAACGAGAACAAAGGCAGATCAGTGAAGAATCAGAAGGGGTTGCTTTAGCAGTGCACTCACAATGTCCAATGGACATTTATGTCCGCTGTAATCATGACAAGATTAGAGAGAACAGCAAATGAACTGTACTAACTGAATGCGTTGTGTTGACGATATCGTGTGCGTGGCGGACGACTCAGACGATCAGGTTGAATTGATGCAAAATTTTAACCAAGCGCATAGAAACTTTCATTTCAACATACAGCCTGAGTCGGACGAAGGTATAGGTTTCTTAGATGTGCAAATGTCGCGTCGAGCCGGCGGAATGTAACTACGTCCAAATTATAGGAAGGCAATGGGGAGTGGTTAGTATAGCCATTTTGGCAGTTTTGTGCAGCGACAACGAAGGCAAAATTTGATTCGATGTCTTACGCAAAGAGCAACGAAAAGATACCGGGAGCAAAGGAACGAAAATGAGCGCGTAAAACAAAGGGATCATACCTTAGCGAATGATACTAGGAGCCACTCATCAATATAAACATGTTGGCTGACGAGCAAGGCGTAAAAATGCAGACAGTCGAAAAGAAACTCGGGTATCGCTTGTTGCCTTTCACGGGCAATAACAGCCATATAATATGCAGAAAACTCAAAGTGTAATCAGGAACACAATCTCGCAGCACGGCAACGAATTTTCTTCCAGTCCAGACCCGTGCTACGTCGAAAACCGAAGGAAAAATTGGCTGTGGATACCACCTTTTGTGTGTATCAAGTTACTTGTTTCTGGGGGGGGGGACAACCTACATAGGCTGCCGTTGTAGCTCAATGATTGCATACTTTAGTTTCTACTTGTCTTACGGGTCCGAAGCGAGACAACGACTTCGGACTGGCTTCATCAACAAAAGTGACTCAAATAAACCAAGTCTTTTCCCCATCTCTCTTTCGAAGACCGGTGATTTGTCGCAACCCCTGCTCATCCACCTCGAAGAGTCAATCACCATGCAAAAACTCACCATGCTGATAATAGCGGGCATGAGGATGCAACGCCTCTAGTGGCTGGCGACTGCCCTCATTGTTTGCTTTGCGTTTTCGCCTGACCAACCTCTTGTAGGTCATCGCATAATGGGACATTCGTGCTCGTAGGACGCAACTTGGACATACCAGCTAAATCTCCCGCAACGGATGGACAATGTTCCGGAAAGCTTGCAGCCGACGGGCAAGTGGAATAGTTAAAACGCAGAAGTGTCTGGGTTTCGGATTCTTGGGATGAAACCACGGAGCTCCTCGCTGTGGCAGGTTTTGTTTTCTTTGCTGGCTCGTGAGATTTAGTGAATTCCTCTGGTTGTAATTTACGCTGGCACTTTAACAAAATATTTGGACTACATCGTGCTGAATCCCACGAAGAGGTTTAAATTTGTCGATGCATAGACAAATACACGAAATATGACAGTTCTCATGACATATAAAGCATGAAATAGCGTTTGTTCTATAACCGACAATTTTTGTAACAAGTACCACAGAGTCTGCCTAGTCAATACAAATAGCGTAGTAAATATGGTGACTAAATAGCAAACGGGCGACAGAGATCGGGACAATTGGAAAATTACACAACGAAATGCACAATAAGCATGTTCACAAGACAAATTCAGAATCGGAAAGCAGACAAAGAATAACCCTAAAATACTGTTAGGCATAAAATAATACACAGAGCAAACGGGTTTGACAACGGAGCTTGTAATCGGAATGATGAGCGCTATGCACAGTCAGACGATCGGTAAGGTTAGTAAGGATTAACGACCGTTGTAAGAGCACGCACAGAGTTAGTGGCCAAGTTAAGCGTCAGTATACAATGTGCGGCCGAAGAAGCGAATGTCAAGGGAGCGGAAGGAGGAATTGTCTTACAGAAATAGTTGACAAAAATGTGAGTCATCTCCTAAAGGCTGGGATTAGGTTGAAAATACATGAATTCAAAGATGAATTAATCCTAAGGTGGGCGAGTAACGAGAACTTGTGACCTTCTTACTTGTTTCGAGGTCGGTTTTCCAGCGCCGTGACCAGCCTTTGTCTCAATACGGGCTAACAAAGGATTCGTTTGTTTCGAGGAATGCTGCCCGATAGCTGACTGCAGAGTGGCAATGAATTTGAAGGCGTGTAACGGAACGACGCGATCGTCATGATCAGCAGTTAAGATAAGAAACGCAGGGTATTGGATATTGGGGTCTGACGGGACCTTGACATTGTGCAGCGGAGAATATCTGCGGTAGGAATGGGGATTATGCATGGGAGTTGTCGAGTATCCAGCGGTGGGAAAACTCTGATCAGTCGATGGAAAACAGGGGAAAAACGACTCAAAAATGAGGTACAGATAGTGGTTCAGAGAAAAGTATAGGCGATCCATGACGCACAGTATATTCCTATACAAAAACGACCCTGGATTTCTAAAACGAACAAGAATACAGATTGCCTCTCTTCAATCGCGCGTCAGTTGGAATTATGGGGCGAACACAACGGTGTCCAATATCGGTGGTAACGATACGCTGAAAACCGAACGTAGTATTAAGCATTCCATGTCTGCGAAACTAAACTCTACCGACCTCCGGAAAAAAGAGGTAAAGAACTAGATTCGGGCGGACAGGGAAGGTGAAAATTAATTTGAATGGTGGGAGAGAACAAGTGATCCAGGTGTGAGAGATGAACGAATCACGCAACGGAAAAATGAAGACGCTAACGTGTATGTGAAACAGAGGAGGAATGTCAGTGGATATGTAGGGACAGTAAGTGCTGTGCAAGACTGTGGCTGATAGTGGATATAAGCTACCAATCGAAGAAGATCGTGGCAGAAACTAACCGGAACAACACTTCGAAATCCTCCTTTGAGTCCGGGTCACCGTAATCGCTGGTCCAGGCATGACCAATGGTGAATTTATGAAAACGCACCAGATCGCAAACAGGCACGTGCGCAACGCACGCACCGAAGAGATCCGGACGTTGATTGGCACATGCGCAAACAAGCAAGCCCCCGTTGCTGCCCCCAGCTATGTACAACCTAAAAGAGGAAAAAGAAATAACATGGAGAAACTGAGAACAACCCATATTCAAAATGGTGAATTGCAATCGAACTGGACAAGGGAGTGGATTTAAGAAGTCGATGCTCACTCTCATGGTTGTTCACAGGATTGAATGGTGTGAATCCCGAGAACAAAAGACAGATTGACTATATGAAAGGTGTCGTTTCAACATTGCTACACGTGAAAATGAGGCTGGGAACAGGCAAATAAATATGTTAGAACGCAGGCAGCAAAACTGAAGATAATCAACGCAAAGCAGAAGTAACATAAGTATGCGTTATAGTGAAGGTTTAGAAATTCAGACAATCTTAGAATCTGGTGTAGACGCAGACACATTCCAATATTTGTGGTGATGGTCCGGTAATCCGGAACCAAGAGGCTAGATATAGCTAGCTTGTCTGATGGCCATGCCCGGCCCGTAGCCTAAAGGTAACAAGCTTGTCTTGTAATCTGACGCCGCTGGTTCGAGCCTGCGTAGGGGCGCGGCGACCTTTGCAGTAACCTTAGCCCACTTGCAACTGGTGGTGGTTGCGCGGCAGCGAGGCGTCAGTACTGCGTACCGGCGTACTGCTGATGCCTTCAGATAGCCACAGATTTTAGACCAGGTTAGGCGAGGGGGTAATGGATGAAAGACTAAGGTTTGCAGCGAGCGCTTCGAAGTCACTTGCTCCAACGGTCAAGAGTGTCTGTTTCTGTCTTCCTTTGTCACTGTGACTGTGTACAGGTACAGGACGACTGCACTCACACGGATGTGACAGGTGACTTGCGAGGTACCCAGCGCAGCTGCGTCCATCGATAACATGTTCGGCGCAAACCAGGGAGACTAGACGGGAGCCAGCTCAAACACCACTCGACGCATATCACTGGCACACATACCAGAAGTACACAATGTGGTCGCACTGTTCCCTCGTGCACCTTAGGTACCAGCGCTGCCAAGCACCACACAGCAAGATTTTTTGCAGTCACCTTGAAAACAATTACAGTGAGAACAGCCAAAAATCACAAGTCAAGATGGATGAGACAATGAACAAGTCTATAAGTGGTGAAAATCTAATAGCTAAGTAGAATTATTTGGGTGTTGCTTCTCCCACCACTGGCATCCCATGACCGCGGTTTCGTCCTGATTTGGACTCACACGTAAGTAATCCAGCAGGGAGGTCAAGGTGAGAAATCGGGGTGATAAGGTATGCGCGTTGTTAAAGCGCGTCAGTCACGAGACAGTGAAATGACCATACCCTAAGGGTAAAGAAGAATGTGTCAAATGCGCTAATGTATGCAGGAGTTGGGGATTGAACATCAGTATGGAAAACCGGGTGCTGGTAACTATTGTCACTTATGGGGAATAAACGTTCACTCCCCGCGACACGCCCAGGTATCCCTGTGGCATATAATTCCAGTAAGCGTAAGGCACTGAGAAGTGTTTCAGAGTATCACGATTTACGTAACACAGCGCAAGGAAGCCAACAACAGCCTCCAGTAGCTGTTTGAAGGTAATCAAAGTAGGAACGGAAACAATGGATTGGAGAGAACGTTTCAGAGATGGCAAACTAAAAGGGGAAGTTAATGCGGTCGGCACTCTAGATGGGTGTAATGTTGATCCAGTTCCCAGTGGTCACTGCTGACGGTCTTATGGCTGAGGCAGAGCAAACGGTGCCATGCGTGATTGGGACCACTTAACAGTTGGTACGCCAACGTGAGAGCAATGCGAAGTTGTCGGCAGTGTCCACGGGAAATTCCAAATGCCTCCAGTCTCTAATGTCAAGAAAGGTGGCAGACCTACGGCATTCTTCGTCGCCCGACGTCCCACTTCAACCAAGTGTCAAACTTGAGAACTATAGTTAGCAAGACGCATGGAAAAGAGACGTGTCAAAAGACAGGAGTGCACTCCGCAACAGATCGAAGCGTTGGTTACTCCTTTTAGAAATTAACTGACACGGAGGTCGAATTCATGGGATGTGGTCTGCAGGCTGCGTACTCCAGGCCTAGGGTGCCTTACAGACGGTTACTGATAAAGAAAGCTTTAATTAGAGTCAAGGACCCAATACTCGGTTGGTTACCCTCATAGCTTAACGATCGCTCTCAAATAGTCACCCTAGGCGATCATCGCTTTTCCCCATATCCAATTACCAACGGGGTTATATAAGGAAGTGAGCTCGATCCATTACTTTTCCTGCCTTAGATCAATGACAACAGTTTGGTCTTCAAATATGGCGTGCCGTCCTTATTTGCTGATGATATAAAGATTGCCTACTAGTTCCGATGAGTTGACCTTCAGAATGTATTACTACTCATTAAAGATGAGGTTCAGTCCCTTGCGACAAGAGGATGATGAAGTTCGCAGTACAAAAGTCAAGTATCATATGTTTCGGTTTTTTAATATCTGTATTCATCTGGCATAGCGGTCTACACGCGACCTTTAACTTTTCTGGACAGATTGAGTACCAGATAGCTCAACCCAGAAAATCTATGGCTAATATATCTCAAAAGGTGCACACAATCTCAGCCAGAGTCGAACTTTCTAAAATTCTCACTCGTCCCATCAGAATTGTAGCATAATTTGTGGCAACATGAGGAAATCTGACAGAACAGCGGTAGAAAGCCTGTAACGGTCCTTTACGAAACAGCTATTAAGCAAAAACTCTAATTTGAATTATCGGGAGCGGTGCCAGCAACTCCATCTCGATTCGCTTTGGACGAGAAGACTAACACATAATTGATACTGTTATACAATCTGATTCATTGCAATGCCTATTGAAATCTATCCATATTAACGTTGCAGCACAGTTCCGATTGGAACCTTGTTAACAAGGAATTTACCCTGATTATACTACGATGCACGACAAATTTTTAATCAGATATGCTTCTTTGTGGAATCGGCCCCTAAGGTCATGTGAGATGGTGCAATCATTTCGCAGTAAGCTGTGTAGCTACTTTGACCTGGACACTACTACGTCATTTTGTTTGTGGGGAAGATTATTTGACGATGTAGTTAGTGATGGCCCGTCTGTCGATGGCCCAGTGGTCTGCACGCCTAGGTTGTTATGATAAGGTCACCGCTTCGAATCCGCGTGGAGGTGGGGGTCGTCGCGGTATACTCAGCCCGCGCGCAAGTGGTGGTGGTCGGGCGGCAGCGATGCGCTTTTACGGTGTACAGGTGGCACATTATTATTATTATTATTATTATTATTAATGATGGCCCAGATAGCGTTTAATGGGTGCCATTCCACAACTTTGCGCAATGTGATCAACCCTAAGTGATTCTAATATACTCAATAAAAACTTTATTTATTTATTTACAAAAGTGCCTCCTACCTGCGCAAAAAGATAAACATATGAGACACATACCTTGCCAGAAAAACGGATAAATATAGGACCATCACATTGTATTGCCCATGCAGGAGCATGATATTACCTGTTCATATTTGATCTGTGTCAAGTATGGACACAGCTTCTCACTTGATGATTAATATACTTATTATTATTATTAATATTATTATTATTATGCTTGCGCAACGATGGTATAAATGAACAACTCCATGCTTATGCAACTTGAATGATAAGCTATGATAAACGAGCCATTTTGAAACCACATCATGCCATTTAACAAGGAAATTCAAGACAATAACACTCGCTAGAATGTTGATGAAAGGTAAGAATAGATGAAACGCTAGCATGGAAACTCGCGATACATCGCATCCAACTTTGACTGGGCGGCACAGGGGTCTCTGAACTATCACTTCAGAGTGACATTTTTGGAGAAAATTTCCGAACCTATCTATGATTAAGTGCCATTATTCCGGAGTTTGTAGATCACAAAATAATTGGTGATTCAAGTAATCAAATGGTACCGAGAAGTCTAAGCAGACGAAGCGACTGGTTCCCATCCCGCCATCAACTGCTTCGGTTCAAATGCCGCGCAATCAGTAGGTAAGTGGTACTCGATTGATGTGACTAAAAACCATGGTGAATCGGTGCTGTGACAGGATGGTTTCACAAGTAGTTCAACATTGCGTCCGTGATTATTGTTACCATGATTTTGGTCAGAATAAGAAGCAGCGTTGCAGGGCAGTCATATGCAGGATCAGTGCATCACTCCTAATGGCCAGGGTGAACAAATAATCGCTGCTGACCCCCCACACGCTCCAAGTCCTAGTTGGTTCAGTGGTGCAATAACTGACAGTTCATATGGGCCGATCTTTGCTTGCTGAAAACAAAGATTTGCTTCTGAACAATTCCGATAGGCGAGAAAGAACCTATGATTAGGTCTTTCGGTGGTTAACCATGAAAAGTCCAGAACAGTAGATCCCAACATATTGCTGAGAAATGTGCAATCCAAAACCAGTCTGCAGCTGCCGGTGAAAGCATAGACGCAAGTTGTGAGAGGCTCCGGTCATTTGGTGCATTAGCATCGAGCGCAAACCTGCAACCAGTGGCAGACATCTAAACAAGGTCATATTAGATCGATAAATGGAGAAGTGGTGAGCAACTGGTGTGCTGGGTACGTTTAGTCATCTGTAGCTGTTTTCGCACGCCGAGTGATGCACACTCGCGATCGATAACATGGCTTCGGTCCTAATGTGCAATCAGTGGCCACATATTCCCAAGTGACAGAGTAGTTTCCAAGAAGAGTTGGGTATACGGCTGTTATGATCAACCCCATGCGTCTAATGAAAATGGAAACAAGTAGCACGAAAAATAACCAAAGGTGGCTGCAACAATAAACTCACTTATCACGGCAGGTGTAGTGCTGGTCAATCAAATAAGACGCAGCCGCTTGGAAATCATCAAAACAATTTTGTTTAAACTTCCGACGACCGGCATCGTGCCATGCTTTTCCATATTCCCTGAAACGGTAGGTGAGAAGGTAGCAGAATCAATGAGGGTATATATATATATATATATATATATATATATATATATATCAGGCGACGTTTGACGGTGAAAAAGATCTGTTGGAAGCCAAGCATTAGTGACAAGGATAGCACATCAAGTCGTCATGAAAGTTGAAGTGGACATACTCAGCATAGCTTTGATGCACACCATTATTTGTACTAGTTAGCAGCGGCGTCTAGCAGAGAGAGGAAGAGAGCTAAAAACCCGGCAACAACGCTGCAAATGAGACATAAAGTGTGGCTGCTCCCCTGCGACCAGGCACTTCTGGAAATATGTCTTAAATCGGGCATCTGAAGTAAAAATCGGTCAATCTGTAATTAAACAAGTGGTCTCATCGCCATGCGCTAAGTGAAATGAGCATATCTGCTTGAGATGAAAAAGACTCTAGCAATTGAAATGATCACAGCAAACACGTGCGGGAGACGCAAACAAGAGAGGAATAAAGCCATCAATTGCACGAGGAACAGTAAGTCAGATGACATAGTTAGGAAGCAGAGGTTTGTAAATCCGGCACAAATATCCCAGTTGGCCCGATTTGCCTGCCTTTCAGCACTGGACGGAAAAAGTTAACAATATTAAAAGATATAAAATAAAACATCTAAATAGTAAATCACTTCAAGTCACGAAAGCCGAAAACTCTTGGAGAAACTGACTAGTACACGATATCATGTTTGGACCTCAGAGTTTGATCAAACGAAGCCATACAAAATCGGTGACATGAGTGGTTCTGAGCGAGGACATCCTAACTTACTCGTTTCTAAGTGTGTCTAGTATGCAAACCATATAGACATGAGGGAAACGGGCCTTGCTCCATCGTGCCCATAGGGTTCGAGCTCCATATATTCTAGAAACCGAGAAAGTTGGTATTGTTGTTTTTCGAAACGTTGCATCCTAATGGCAATTAGCTGCAATTCATCAAGCGCTTCTTTGACACGACAAAACGAGGTCGAGTATAACAACTGTACAAAAGAGACTGCCGTTTACTGACCATCCAGTGAAAGCTATCGCTGGACGGATAAGCACCCCATTGAAAATGGCATAAAACGCAGTCGAATTACCGGTGCTCGTGTCGACGAGATCACTAGTGATCAATGAAGGCACCAGTGTCGAAGCGGTGCACGTCCCACTCTCTATGCGAGTTCAGTTGTAACTGCGGAGGTGGATATGTTGGATAGATTGATCGGTGTTGGAATCGATGTACACATTCCAAAGGGATTATGGAAATCAGGTGAGTTAACAATCAGGAATGCCATAGAAATCACGAAGCAATACCGAACAGCGCCCACTAAGCCAGCCCTGGTGTGCTATTCACAATCTTTATGCGCAGTCAAAAGCCTCAAAATTCCAAGCTATTCAAAGTCACTGGTATCGATCGAAAATGCCTCACACACTATGCTCAAAACGGTTGACGGCGGCACTAAGCTTACCGTTACAGCACAACAACCATTTACGAACTGGCCACCAAAGCGATTTCAGGTGACCTTGTTATTGAATTTTTTGCACGTGCGCACGAAACGACACAGTCATCGCACAGTATGCGTCCACCGATTTCCCCATTTGGAGTTTCTAACCAGTATAACAGATGTTGCTGGCGAAATTCAGCGGTCCAGTGACAAGTTTTACCTACCAACCAATAGATCCGATGTCCTGCCTGCAAGTCCGGCTATTTGCATTTGAAGAATCCAAGCAATGAGGATACCGGTGGAGAAAAGCCCTGTAGGAGACGAGAGCCACTGAAGACTCTCCATTTCGGATATCGTTCAAGTGATCGGAATTACTGATCTCTACCTCCTCGTGAGTCGATGTGCTAAGTGAGATAGTGGGTCGCAACCAAAACGTACGGTTAGCGCTCTATAAGTGATGATAGCATAAGTCTTACTCATTGACTTTTGTTCAGTTCACCATGGTTCAAAGATGAAATCAATGTTGTGTATATTCAAGATGGAATGCATATGATTGAAAATCAATGTCAGTCGGAGGTTCTCATAGACTTACCCTCCTCCGCGAATGTTGGCGATTGCGACAATGCCGCCAAAATGCAACAATAGCAACAATCGGCCAACAGAAAAGGTGGGTGTGATAGAGATTTGAAAACCACCGTATCCATACAACTGACATGGGTTGGAACCGTCCAAAACCAGGTCCTGTGAACACATGAGGGAGGTAAAGAAAGATAGGAATGCAATACCATATCTAACAATGTATTCCTCGTGGATAGCATAAATGGCACAGAGACAAAAACCTGTAAGTGAAATAGGGTGAAGAAGGACTAGTCAGGGTTTTTAATAATGGTAACCTAACAGCTATGTCATCCTGTACCTTGGCACTAGGATCTAATACAATAAGACATGGGCGGTAATAAATCCAATCCTTTCAGTGAACAATTTGTAGACTTCGGAGAGAATCTGACAAAGTTGGACCGGAGATGAATGCATCTTCAGGTAACCTCCGCACCAAAAGGGGAGCTGGGACGGCGGCGGCAGCAGCAGCAGTGTCTCGGGTGCAAAAGCGACAAAGCTCTTGCCGCTGAAGACTTAGTGAATACGTATCAAGAAGAGCAACGAGCATATAGCCAACATACGTCCAATGTAATTCCGTGGAGTGCTTGCGAATTTGATATATCTAAGTGCATCTCGGCACACGCATGACTTCGTATACTATCTGGTCTGTGACTGCAAAACATCCAGACTGCATGTGACCGTTGCTACATCCGCTCTCTGGATGGTATTTGTAAGCTATCTCCAAAAAGAGGATGAAGATAGACGAGTAAACACAAGATGTCTTCAACTGTGAAAGACGTACTCGAGGTGCTACAATGAACATCGGGATTTGGGTTTTGTCCTGGCTCTCGTAAAATACCTGTTTCGCACAGAAACCGGAGAGATCAACGCCATTGAGACGAGATTCGCGGAACAACTAGGTGTTTGGACAAAAAAACAGAAAAGACAGGCTCGTTATAGTTAGGTTTAGTCAAGTCAAGTCAAGATTTATGCAACCGGATGGATGCGTTTATAGCATTTGTACTGTCGACTGCCGATAGACTAAAACGACATCAGAATACATGCATGTTTCAAGAAAGAACAAAATTAGAAAATTGTGTAAAGATGCCACTCGAGCAAACAGTCCCAATTTTGAGCAACGATAGCGTATTTCTGGGGAAGGGATTATCAGGATTCATGCCCAGTTGACGAGACAGTTATACCAGAGCGTTTCCCAGCAGATGGTTTCATTTCGTCGAAAGTAACAAATGGCGAAATATGCGCAATATATCGATGCATTATTTAAGGAATCGGTGGAGTAAAACGGTATGTGACCTCTAAAGATAGCTTCGCAAAGGAATTTGTTAAAAGATCCACAAAAATTGATATATCCACAACAGAGCATAAAAATGGTGCAAACGTTAACTGGAGCTGAAAAATTCAACAGCAGACAGATAGAACGCGAGGTGTCACTGCCATAGTTAGGTGACCGCACACTATCGAATGTTTGACATTTCGGAAAAAAAGTGAATTTGTAGTTGTATTAGCCCCCAATTTGTGTTAGAGGGAGTTTGCCAAGGCAGGACGTGAATAGCTGGAGAGGACTCACCGTTTAATAATTCACATAGACACATACATAACCTATCTTCAGTACCCGTGCATAGGCGCAATTTGGAAACCTAATTGACAAACTACCGGAATTAAATTGGATGACTCAATTACGCTACAACTGATAACAGTATAAGCATAGTGATGCCGCAAACAGTTTCACGACAATACAGGTTCCTAAATCTTGTTGGTTAGAGAGCAATCATGTGCGCGATTTGAAAGCCAGAGGTATGATAGTTTTTAAATCGAGCAAAGGTGGAGGAGTGGTTACTAAGGGGATAAATTAAAGGAAAAAACGAGATGGCGAAAATCCCCAAAAAACAAGTGCAAGCTACAGAGGTAGAAAAGAGGAACAAAGGTAATACAAAACACCAGGAGACATGAAAAACGACATACAGCTATTCAAAGACAAAGGCGCAACCAAAGATTCACAAGGTTAATACACCACCTAAGCCAAAACAATCCTTTTGCGATTCTCCTTATCCCAAACTGGTACGTTGGTTGGTTTAACAAAAGGGATGGTTAAGTTACTGGGTCCGCGATCGTCTAAGGTGACTAAAGATAGGATTGCTGTGGCATACATGCAAGTCATTACAATTGCTGACTGAGTACATCGTAGTATCGCACACCGAGCCTGGTATCCAGATTCTGTGGTTGATATAAGTGTGCCAACTGATATGTTTGCCAACATCTGCGGAGGATAGGTGAAATAATCATTTGGGCAGAGGCAAACAGAAATTAGGAACAGATGGACGAACCCGAATAATAGTGGAATTAAACGCAGCAACATGAGAATACCGATGGAGTGCGAAAAAATGGCTCACCTTCAGCCTGGCAGGTTTTTCTGTCAAATCACATGAAAACACTTGACCGGGGACGAGAAATGAGGTGAATTTCACAAATGCCTTTGGAATAGTAGAGATAAAAAGACAAGTTAGGGAAATGTCAGTGAGAGAGATATGTTGGTTATAAGACAGAAAAGTTTCTGGCGGATATGACCAAAAACGGATGCTATGCCATTGTACACAACCGGCAAACAGCACATCCACTGAGGCACTGTCACTTCGGTAAACGAAAATTATGCGTGGAAATGGAGGTGGGGATGCAGACGAGATAAGGAATTCACTGTAGCAATAAAGCACAGCGCAAAGGTGAAATAGAGAATTAGGGCGGAGCAGAACTCTGATGGGACCGGTGTTTGGATTAAGAGGCATCCCCAGTGTGATCTGTGGAACTGGTGCAGCATTGGCGAATTCACAAGTGGATTCATAAAATAAGGCCTCAAAGGCTTACATAAAAACCTCTACACGCCTACACTCGGTGTCGATGTTGTGGCCACAGTGGCCGAGACAGGCGAATTCAACTCGAGCTAGTCCGAGTAGCGTGCTAAGGATGCCAAAGTAGCAGAACAGCGACTTACCATAGTGTCCCGCTTGCGTCCAACGATGGCATCAACGGTGCCTAGTGGAAGATCCAGATCAGCCAGTTTCTCCCCAGTTTGCAGTGCGTGGACAGACAAACAACTCTAGAAGAGAGCGGTGGATAGCCGAAACGAACGTATGTTAGGTTAGAGGCCATTTACAAATGCTTACATTCGTAAAATGTCAAGATAAGAGCAAGGATAGGTATCAGAACGCACGCAGTCCAGTAGAAGACTCCTTTACGTAGCAAAACCAAGAATGGAGAATCAATCGTGGCCGCCCATGGGCTGCCATTAGAATCGTGCGCGCACGGATTGTGCCAAGCAGAAAATGAGAGCTTTTGATGTCATACAGGGCTGAAGCACCAAGTTCATTGATAAAACTAAATAATACCTTAGACAAATCACGCAGTGCGACAGCAGCGGCTGAAGGAAATGGATCGGGAGCAGCAGTGGTAAACATTGCCGTTAAGGCAGACCATGTGTATTTCAAAAGGGCCTTTCAAGAAGCGATTAATGTATTCACTGGGTTTGTTGGGCCATAAACCTAAGGTTGAATAGTCGACTTCGGATACATGCTGTATCATTAAGCTTGTCCGAAGTTGTCTTTCAGAGTCCTTAAGTATCTACCGACCCCGGTTTAATTCCTATTCATTACGGACGTCACTATTTTGTGTTCAATCACCTTGGATTGTCCTGTAATTAAATGTCCCGACATTTTTAAAATAATTTGCGTTACTCGTTACCAGTGTAAGTTTATCCTTATCCAACTTGATAACATCAGGATCGTTCCGTAGTGTATTTACCGTTACTTGTTCGGTTGGTTCAAGATTCTGCACCCGGTTATTGAAATCTGATTGCATTTGCAAACCGTGCACGTATGTCTTCTGTCTTTTCAACGGTTGCAACGCTAGAAGGCACGTCTTCTACTTTTATTTCAGGTTTACTCGTAAGGAGAGTTAAACCTTTTCCTAATACTACACACTGTTACACTTAATACCTTATCTGATTTATTAACAAACCCACATATGTTGTAATTACATACAGGATTATCAGTATGACTGTTTTGTATAGCTATCAAATGTCCTACCTTTAATTACCATCTTCCTGCTACCTTAACGCTGGTAACTCTAATGAAAAGTCTGTCATAAGCCGTAGATCGATCACGCAAGTACGGAAAAATTGACATAATCAACGATGTTTACATTGGTGACCATAAGTGTTAAATAGAAAAATCCTACCTTAAACCGCATAATATAACTGGTAAAGTGCATGGTATCAGGGGAGGCTGAGTGGAGTGGTCCAAATTGGTCAACTTATTCGGTAGAAACCAGGTTTTGGATAAGAACTCCGTGCAGTGAAACCATGCATAACTAACTTCCTGAAGTATGTGTGCTAAGCGAAGTTGATTGAAGCCTTTGTACAGTTTGATGTGGTAGTGGAAGTAAGCGGAAAGTGGATGAAAGTCGCTCTTGCTACACAATAGCTCAAGCGCACAATGTTGAACCCCGGATTCGTGCTTCCACTCTTACATGAATGCGTCTGCAGTGTCGGAACCTGTGTGCAACTTCATGTGGTTGCATGGTTGCCAGACAGGACCACGAAGTGCGCTGAATAACCGTTACCCTCCTTAGACTCAGTAAGTAGGGAGGATGGCTTTTACAGGAAACTAAATGCGGTTGTACTAGCGCAAGAAATTGAACGTGGAGTGGTACATCGTAATTCTGGGCTCAAGACCCACAACACACAGCGCCATGACTCAAGCTTTCTGCATTCCCGAGACAGAGGACTGGCGCCTTCAAAAGATGGACCAAGGTCTACAAGCTAGATCCGTCAGCACAGGAGAAAAGGATCACCGTCAAAGAAGAGAGTACAAACTCTTAGTGATGCGATGGGCAGACTGAAGTCCTAATGACCAGAAGAGATGCCTACTACATTGGCTGTCACGCAAACTGCAACCAGAATGACCGAGTGGGTAGGTGAGACTCCATGCATAAGTTTAAATTACCAATCTTACTGCACTGCATTAGCAGAATCATCCTTTAGTCAACCGTTGTATAGCAGCGAAACATCAGCTGCAGAGAAGCATGACATGTACCGCAGGCTAGACTCCACTGAAGGATCGCTCTGCGCGATATACTTAAAGTGAACATTATGTTGGTCGAGTTGTATCAGTGTGTCCGTACCGAAGGTGAGTATCGGGAGGCAATGGTCAAGGTAGCTCGTTAGAGCAACCCGTAAAAGTGAATAGGCTGCGTCCCCTTGGGTACGTAACACATGCCAGCTTATTAGGTGGCGAAGAGAGTTGCTTCTGTTTACTTGATGTTGAGTGGTTTAAGTTTGGAGAAAAATAACCAATGACCTGAAAAAGGAAAATCAAGTCGTTAACTATATAGTTGAATGGTGTAGATCCGCCCGGTCAGAGAAACTACAGTGTATGGATTGCAACCGGAGCAAGAGGAGTGCTGTAGTCTCTAATCAACAACAGCAGTACATCAGCCATTTGAACAGATGCTTCGCTGCCATACAACTATGATGACCTATGGAATAAAGAATAATAAGAGGGTGAGAATAGGGACTTACCTGAAAACCTTAATGCCCTAAGCAAACATTCAGGGTCAATACGGCTACACCTTATGTAGACAACATACCGTCACAAACAGTTGGCTATGGTGTAAAGATAAGGTGGCATCAGCGAGACAGCTTCCTTGCGGCTTTCACTGCCACGCGTCATAATCAGCAATTACCCCGCTGATAAGTCAGCATTAAACACACTTCAAACAGGAAGTCCGACTAGGAGACGGCAACAGACACGCCACTGGTGTCGATTGTGAGCCATGTCCTGTAAAGTCTTGAGCCAAGCACAAGGCGTGTCACGTGGACCCCAGCCTGGAAGGGATAACAGCACCTAGTTTGGCCGTCAGTGATTTCATTTCCCGCTGCCAAATCAACTTTTGTCCACCTCGAGCCTTGCGCCACCAAACATCTGGCAGACTAAACAAGGCCCTCTTAGATAAGCGGTGACAAAGAATTCGCAGTAGGTGCCCCAGCCAACGAAACTTATTCAGTGCTATCTGTTGTTCCAAGGAACTAGCCTAGTACTCATCTACGCACATCAGCATTGCGGAGACGCTGGTGCCACCTGACAACAGCAACACTCTGCGGACAACGATGAGTAAAGACTTGAACGCGCCTCAGACCTTCACTCTCATAGAGCCAAACGGCCCTCAATGTGGCCTTCTATACACGGTCCTTCGGACGGAGGGAAACTCCATTCTGTCGCCAAAGATGCCGCACTTTCATGCAGGCAGTTCTGGCTTTTGAAATGAGTGAACTGACTTCAGTCTTTCTGCGCACATCGTTGCTGATGCAGCTGTCAAGGCAATTGAATCGATTAACTACCTCGTGTTCCACGTAATCAAGGGGTCATCAAGTGGCTGGTGGTCCTGCACCAACACTTTGCACTTTGAAGGTGCGAAGCGCATACCAAATAATGGGACAATTCTACAGGCTATTCAGAGTTAACTGTGCCGCCCAAAAATCGGTACACAGCAACAACACACAACGTCCGCATCATCAAGATCAACTAACCTTTCACCAGGCAGCACCTCGCCGCCTACATCGTGAGATTCCGCAAAGGAACACTCCATGATAGAATCCATGACGAAATTGAATAAAAACGAGAAAATCAGACAACCCTGACGAACGTCACTTGTGGTCGGAAAGCTATCCGCTAGGCCACCGTAGACCCTGACGCGACCTGTAGTGTTCGAGTGTAGAGCACGAAGGATGTTCACATATTTCGTGGCTACACCTTTCCGCGCAAGTATTTCGAACAGAATGGATCGAGCGACTGAATCGAACGCACTCTTGACATCGAGGAACACAGCTATTGTCGACCTGCGGTATGCGTGGTGCTGCTATAGCACCTACCACAGAGTGAATATATGGTCTATACAGTCACATCCTTGGCGGAAACCTACCTGCTCTTCTTTAATCCGAGATCCCCGTTCCACTTTGAGGCGACGAACGATAAGTGAAGCCAGTAATTTTGTCACAAATGGCGTTAGGCTAATGCCCCTGTGGTCAGCACAGTCTGTGTGACTGCCCTTCTTGTATATTACCACTATCGATTCGCTCCAATTAGCCGGGACACTCACTTCCTTACATATATATTCGAATAGGGAGGTCAGTGCTTTGCAGAGGACCTCACCTCCATCCTTAAATAATGCAGGTGGGAGGGAATCCGGGCCAGCAGCACGAAAACGACTAGGGCTGTGATCGCGTTTCGAACCTCAGCCTCCGATAGAGCCTCTAAACTAACTGACTACGGATCGTCCTGCATCACCTGAGTAGGAAGAGGTCCGGGAGCAGGGGGCCAGCTGAACTGATCTTGAAAGTGTTCTGCCCAACGAGCCATACGGCGCTCCTTATTGTGAATCAGCGCATCCGCGCTGTCTCTGATGGTCTCACTGACGCGTGGTTTTCTGGGACCAGTGGTGCGGATTAGCTGGAAGAGCTTGCGGTAATTGCCTACTGCTCCTGCCTACTCCATTTCTTGAGCCCGACTGGTCTACCAGGCACTCTTGTCAGCCCGCAGGCTGCGCTTTAGCTCACGTCGAATAATCCGTCTGGTCACATCGTGTTCAGAGTCAGTCGGGAGATTTCTTCTGGATCCCAACAGGTACACCGACCTCTCGGATATCCAGTGACTAGTGCGGTGACGACTGATAGTACCACAAGCAGATGCTCCTGCGTTGTGCATGGCATCCAAGATCCTATTCCACTGAAGCTCAGTGCCATTAGAACAAGACAGCGAAAGTTCGGTATGCCGTGCGTCTTGACAGGTTAGCCTGACCGAGGGCTGAGACAATTTCTCAGTTGTCAATTGGAGGAGACGTTTGGTGCGCCTCCCGGTAAAGTTCATGGAGAAACGACAACGTACCAAGGCCCGATCAGAGTCAACGCAGGTACTCCAGTACGAGCGGCAATCCAGGATGGAACCACTTCAACTGTAACTTATGGTTATGTGGTCAATTTGGGTCCATCGCTGGCCAGCTACAGGAGGACGCCAAGTGGCACTTCGGCGCCCACTGTGTCTAAAAGCAGTGCTACTAAGAAACAACTGATGCTCCGCACACAGGTGCAGCAGACGCTCACCATTGTCAGTCGGTTCGTAGTTGAGCCCATGATTACCACCCAGCTGAGCTTCTGAAGAGCTCAGATGCCTTACGTGTGCGTTCATATCTCCTGCAAGTACTATGATATCTGAACTAGTAGTACTGCGTAGTAGTGCGTTCAGTTCGTGATAGAATGTGTCCTTGACAGCGTCAGAACTGCAGCCGGTGGGAGCATAAGCGGAAACCACAAACAAACAGCGTTTTGTTTTACTTCACGAACTCACCTTAGCTGATGTCGTCAAACGAGCTGCACATAAGCGACTGTTCACCGGAATCCAATCAACTAATGATGGCTCAACCTTGGAGCTGAGAATGACACCTACACCAGCTTGACCCGTGAGTACTGCATTGGCGTCTCCAGATGCGTGCAACCAATAACGAGAGGATAAGCCGGGTGCAGTTAATTCAACAACCCCGTTAGGGTCGTTGATCCTAGTTTCGGACACACAACATACATTAATACCGGATTGCGTGTGTATAATGAGTAAAGAGGTGAGTTAGCTATGAAATAAGATTGGCTATGATGTGGGGCAGTGAAAGCCGAAATGAAGCAGTCATAAAAGCATGATAGCTAGCTGTTTGTGCTCTTGTGTTGTAAGCAAGATTTAAACGCCGTGGTTTGAAAGATAGCTCCGAGCAGTTGGGATGTACGCCAATATGCCGACACACTGCTACAGTTGAAGTTTGTGTTATTGTTGTTACACTGACGAAAAGGAAAATCCAAGTTCAAAATTACCTTGACATCTTTCAGGCGGTTGATAATCAAGTTGTCCTTGTGCACACACATTGCCTCCTCTAGCAAAGTGGTTTCGTCATGAGGAACAAGATCCCTCCAGTTGATCTGAAGAAGAGAAAGAACAAATGTGACAGCAGATTACAAAGAGAAAAACGATGCCTACGCAATCTTCATTAGTTTACCGAGCAGGCATTGTGAATCTCGATAGTTGAGAATCTGCTGACCGCGTCCGAAAGAAACGAGAGGAGTGGAAGCCAGACAATCATTTGGTCAAGAGGAATGACGGCTGTGACTTTGAGTTTGGCCCTAGCCAGTGTCGTCCGATAACCGCGTTAAGGTCCGAAAGAACCACAACATGCTTTTCATGACAAATGGGGCGTTTGTGTTGTGCTGTTTGTCCCTTAACAACGAACTGATCCCTAAGGCATGAGGAAGCAAGGAATAATGTCGATCGTATTGTTTACTACATGTGTTTTGCTTGCGTTTTTATGACTGCTATTGTATTGTAACGCAGCACAATAGCTAAAGTGTCTATCGTCTTTGACTAACGTGAATCGATGATGAATATGATGAAGTCATGTAGGTGTTGTTTGTGCCGTACAATGACATTTGTGGATGAGTGCAATCAATATGTGGAATTCTGTTGTTGCGTGAAAATCAAGAGCTGCATATGCAGATTTCAATGCTTTGCATATCATAGAACGCAGGGTGTAAATGATCAGCGAATCAATGTTTGTCAGAGCATGTCAAGTAAGAACACTTAGGACAATACATGGCATTGCTGTAAACCAGCAGGAACAGGATATCGAAACAAGGATTCAGTCGACATAGATAGTCCATCTGTGCCTGGACTGAGATAACTCTTTCGCGCCGTTCGCGAACAACACGTTTGCCCTACAATTAGAGGGACACAGTGCGTATAAGCCACTACGGCAAAGCTTACTGTAGAAGAATAAGTCAGCGAAAAATACATGTATGACCTGGAAAGCGCTTTAATTTATCATGCTTTTTCGTTCATATTAATAACGATATCTTCGGCGGATGACGACCCTCCTCTGTTAGGCGAAGGAGAAATCTCATTGACACGCAGCAGAATATGAAATCATCAGAGGAGCCGTGTAGAAGGATGCTTGTGCCTGGTGTATTCAACAGCCGAAGGTTTAAGTCTCGCCTCCAATGGGCTGATTCGTCCCTTGGACACATCTGTTCACTCCCATCATGGACAGTGGCGAAAATATAAATGGTACGATTTGAGCTCAGCTAAAGACATTGGTTAGCACCAAGAGACCATGGCCATCGGCATCAAGACGATACAAAAGAGGTTGTCCAATCCCCGATGTGTATTCATGTCACCAGTAAAGTGTGAAATATACACATTTCCAGCCGCATGTATGAAAGATTAGAGCAGATGGTGATATTCATTTTTGACAGTTCCAAGCCGAGAACAGCCGGTAATCAGGCCGGCTTGCCGAACTACCACCTCCTGGTGCCAGCTGGGTGACTCGGGATTATCCCGTTCCAGCGAAAGTTTCGGCGGCAGTGTTCCAGGACGTGATGGGTTGCCGCCTGGCAACCGTTCTCCCTATAAAAAACCACATATGTCCGTTTAACAACGCTGCGATGTAGTGGACGTGACTCGCCACTAAATAAAGTCACCGCCCTTTGCTTCACCTCGCTGGAGCATTGTAATCATTCAGCTTGACGCTGAATTACTGGGAGTATTGGGCCCCTGTTTGACAGCCAGCCAAACGAAAGGCGTATGAACCGAGCAATCGGTCACCGGCTCCCAATGGGCGCGATTCCCTGAATTCGCCCCGCTGCCTTGCGGGTCAGGTCCCTATGATCAAAGGCTCCGGGTGGGGCACCCTAAGCCAACCCCCTTCCTCGGCCTGGGCAACCGGGACGCTGTATGCCCACACAACATATGAAATGATGGATTTACAACTCTCTGCCCACGTCTCTCGCTCTCTGAACTCTCTCTCTTTGGCCGGGGTGCTGGCGGCCGGGCATGCTAAACCTCACTCTACCTCACCGCAAACCACACTCTTCGTTCCACGTTTATTCAACCCTCCTGTTCTTGGCAAGCCGCCTTCAATTTCGAGTCTCCAAAAGTGCAGTACAAATAAAAGCGGTACCTCTGGCCTCCTCAATGAACCGCTCAAAACCGATCGCACACATTCCAATACCAACAGCAAGACTTTTATTGCACCCCGCTCGCTTTCCAAGCAAGCTACGTTCAATGTTCGAACGCTCGTACAGATTGGTTCACAAGCTGCTCATACGCGAACCTTGAAAACCCTCTCAATCGACGTTTGCTACCTAACCGCTGCGATTGCTCTCACCGTCCCCAAGTCCCAATTGCGCATTCACCTTGTGCTTATCTGGAGATGCGACAGCGGTAGCCTCTGGTTGCGCCGGCGTAGGAGTTGCGTTAAGCGTGCGTGCTCAAGCAGCGCTGATTGACTGGTTCCCGGTCAACAGCCGTCTTTGTGCAGTCCGCTTGGAAAGCTCAGTGCGATCTTCCAGCCACGGGACCAGTAGGCGCTGCTTATTCATTGTGGCGGCGTACGCTCCAATTGACTGCAGCCCGGACGAAGCTAAAGACGAGTTTTACCGCCAACCAACATCGACGTCCTCCGCAAGAAACGCCGCACGGACATCGTGATACTCGCTGATGACCTAAATGCGCAGATCGGTAGACTAGAGGTTCATGAGCACGAAGTTGGGGGTCAACACAGCCACGGTACTCGCAGGACTGACAACGGCAATCGACTCCTGCAACTGTATGCCGACCACGGCTTGTTCCTCTCCAACACCAATTTCCGACGTTCCTGGCGCCAACGAGCCACCTGGCGACCTCCGGCGTCTGGTCAATCTTGGACATAAGTTGACCACATCGATGTTAGTTACCGTTGGCGAGGCTGCATAACGGACTGCAAGTCAATCTGGAACACTTAGTTGACTTCGGATCATGCGCTCGTGTGTGCTAAGGTCATTCTGAGCTTTGGAGGCACAAAACAGCGTGGCCGGAAACGGCTTGACACAGACAAGCTCGCCGTTCCAAATGTATTCATAGCATTTCAGAACACATTAGCCTCCAACCGACGTTCTCTATCCTCCGATGTTGAGACACTGGATCCAGAGCTCCTTACGAAAGTCCGCTACCCTTGTCTGTGGCTTCACTAGACGAGCTGTTAGTCATTGGATCTCCGCACAGTCTCTCCAATTAATGGAAAGTCGTCGAACAATTCCCGCCGGAGTTGAGTACAACGCACTACGCAGAACCACAGGTGCTGAGCTCAGACAGCTCCTCAGGAAGGATCGCGAGGTTTGGTGGACACAGCGCGTCGTTGAGATGGAGCGGGCAGCCTCATCAGGAAACTCCCGCAAACTCTTCCAACTTATTCGCTCCACGGGAGGCAGAAGACCAACAGTGAGTGAGGTTTTGCGTGAAAATGACGGTGAACTAATTCACAGTCGTCACCGTCGTCTGGTACGATGGGCAGAGCACTTTGAAGATCAATTCAACTGGCCAGCAGCGCAACCGAGTCTATCTTCCGGGGTTCACAGTGCTCCCTGGTGCGTGGATGTTTCTCCACCGACAGAGGCTGAGGTTTCCAATGAGCTTCGCCTACTAAAGCGCCACAAGTCACCTGGCCCAGATGAACTTCCTCCTGCCCTCTTCAAATATGGGGGTCCTGCTCTCACTCGCGAACTGACATCTCTATTCCATCAGATTTGGACTACTGAAACCATTCCATCCGACTGGAATTTAGCGGATGTTGTACCTGTTTACAAAAAAGAGACCGGACCATTTGCTCCAACCATCGTGGCATCAGTCTCATTTGTGTCGCATCCAAACTGCTCGCTGCCCTACTCTTACGGAGGCTCAGTTGCGTACGGGAACAGCACCTGCGTGAACAACAAGCTGGATTTCGCCCGGGTCGCGGTTGCGTCGATCACATCTTTACGATCCGCCAGATACTTGAACATCGCCATACGTTCAGTCGACCAACTATAGTCATATTCTTGGATATTCGAGCCGCTTTTGACTCTGTTGACAGAGTGGCTCTTTGGGACTGCTTACTGAAGAGGGGAGTACCTGAGAAGTACATCAGCATTCTCCGTGCTATTTACCATCAAACTTCGGGCCGCGTGCGAGCATACGGAGAAATTTCGCCCCTTTCAGTATCACTAGCGGTGTTAGACAGGGTTGCCCAGCCTCTCCATTCTTGTTCAACTTCGCCATGGACGAGATCCTGGATACTGCCCTGGATAACTCAGTCCTGCGGTGTTGAACTGCTCCCTGGTGACCGCCTTCGGGACTTAGAGTACGCCGATGACATCGCTGTGATTTGCGAGTCCTCCCAAGCCGCCCAGCATGTGCTGCTCAGACTGGAGATGTCCGCCGCCCAATTTGGGTTGAGCTTTGCCCCTTCCAAATGTAAGGTCCTATTACAGAACTGGCCAAGCGCATGTCCTTCTCTCACCCTTTCGGGGCATCCGTTGGAAGTGGTCGACAAATTCATTTATCTTGGGAGTTGTCTTAGTATTGGCGGTTTGACAGATGAGATCTCCCTGCGTGTCTCCAAGGCTAGAGTCGCTTTCGCTAACCTTCGTCACCTGTGGTTTCGACGTGATCACGGCCTCGCTCTCAAGGGACGAGTCTATAATGCTACGGTACGAGCGATTCTGCTGTACGGCTGTGAGACTTGGCCCGTTCTCAAAAGCGATGTTCAGCGGCTATCTGTCTTCGATCACCGCTGCCTGCGAAGCATTGCTGGTGTGCGATGGCAGCATCACGTCAGTAATGCGGAAATCCGTCGGCGAGCCTTCAGATCTAACGAACTCCGCCGATCGATTGATATTATCATTGCACCGCGGAGGCTTCGCTGGCTTGGCCATGTGCTTCGCATGCCTACCCAACGGCTATGACAACGAGCCCTAGTTGCGAGCACAGGCGTGGCTTGGAAGCGACGAAAAGGAGGGCAATGTAAAAAGCGCAAACGTTGAAGCTGGCTGTTGCCCGGCGTTCCAGAGTCCCGAGGTGGGGAGCAAAGGACCACGAGCACACCTAGTTGCAAACGCTGGAGGACATGGCTAAG